CCCACTCCAGGGTGTTCAGGCCTGGCTGATGGACGCAGGTTGTAGCAGAAGCTTCCCAAAGGCAGCTGACCTGGGTGGTGAGATGTTGTGCTCTGGTGCAGAAATCACCGTAGCAAAGAAATGGTGTGCAGGGTGGGCTGCTGGTGCAGGAGGCAGGAGAGGGAAGAGGGGGTTGGGGCAGCAGAGGATGGAGGCCAGGGGCTGGGCCTGATGGTTCCCTGACCCCCAAATCCCTGCTGTGTCAAGTGTGGCCGTCACATAAAGCAAAGGTCTCCGTCCCTAGGGCAACCTGCTGTGGGGAGGGAGAGGATGACTGTTCTGTTCACACTGGACAACCCTCCTCCTCCCCCAGGAAGGAACTAGGGGTAGAGCTGAGTACTAACCAGAACCGAGGGGCCCGTGAGTTTCAGGGCATTGCTATAAGTAAAGTAGCTTTACAGGTTCCAACAGAGGATGGTCAAGTGGAATTTGATAGCTGTTTCCATCTAGCACTCTGAAAAACTTATATACCAACTTAGACGTTCTGAGAGTGGCTATTGGCCACACTCGTCACCATGGGGCATTTTCACTTGAAGAAAAGTTACCTTTCTGTTCACCAGCTGTTCGGCTCAGATTAAGAAAGGAGTCTCTTTTCGTGTCGAGTAGTGTGTGGCTTCTGATCGTCCTCGGGCTCAGGGTGGGTTCTTGAGCTGCAGACGTACTTTCACGCAGTGCTCACTTATGTATCAGAGGACATTGTCGGTTGTGGGGCCATGCTGGTTGCGGTAGGATGGCCTGGCCAATTCTTTTCTTACCAGGATGGTCTGAGGTTGGTTTTGATTTTGGTGCCGTGGAAGCATTGCCACATTGCACGAGTCGAGAGGATACCATTCAGGTAGATTCAGCAGGACTTGGTGACAGATTGAATGGGGCGGGGGTGGGGGTTGGCTGTGGGGGAGGGCCTGACGTGATGACGACACCCAGGACCCTGACTCGTGTCACTGTGTGACGGTGGAGAAAGAGCATGAGTTTGGTTTGGGGCACCCAGGATGTCTGGCAGGAATGATGTGAGAAACTGTGTTCCAGGACCTGGCTCCCAGCAGGCATGGGGAAATGCCTTCTCTCCTTTGGCAAGTATTTACTGAGCACTGTTACCTGGGCACGTGGGTTGGCATTTGGGGAACATGAGCAAGCAAAACAGACAAATTGTCCCCACTCTCTTACAGCTTATACACTGATGTCCGAGACAGACAACAAACCAAAAAACAAGATAAATGCATTATACAGTGTGTTTTGAAGTAATGATTGTCACCAAAGGAAAAAACAAAAGAGAAGAAAGGGCCAGTAATCTGGGGGTGGGAGTGGAGAGAGAGCTATGATTTTTAAATCTGGTGCTAGCAGAGATCTGGGGGAGAGTGTTCCAGGCAGAGAGAACAGCCAGTGCAAAGGCCCTGAGGCAGGAGGATACCTGACCCCTTTGAGCAGAGAGGAAGTCCATGAATCAGGAAGTCAGAATGAGCAAGGAGAGGAGCTAAGATGAGAGCAGCTGAGGTCAGGCCTTCAAGGACATTGCAAGGACAGCGTCTTCTAAGTGTAATGGGGACCAAGGGAAGCACTTGATCTTATGTTTTATCAGAGTCACTGTGGCAGCCATGGGGAGAAGAGAGGCAGGGAGACCACCGAGGAGGCTGTTGTGATAATCCAGGGAGCAGTGATGGTGGCCTGGACCATCTGCTGAGAAGGGAGCAGAGCCTGGGTGTGTACGGAAGGTAGGGCTGATGGGGGGGAGGCTGCAGCTGCCTCATGGTGAAGAGAAAGGCTGCGAGTGACCGTCAGACCCCTTCCCTTGGCTGTGAGGGGAGGCTTGGCCCTCTCTCCTGAGCATGTTCTGGAACCTGCTGCCTTAAGACAGTTGGGAGCCAGGTAATGCCCAGAGCAAGGATCCTGGGCTGGCATAGCCCCAGGAAGTGCCGCATCCCTGTCAGGTCACCACTCACAGACATCCTGCCCCTGCCCCCAGCCTTCAAGGCAGCCAGGCCCTTCCCCGGCTACTGAGCCACATACGGCCCTTGAGTCCAGAGGCTTGTCGCCTGCTTCTCTTTCCTCGGCCCCAAACCACAGCCAACCGGGGAATGAAGACAGCCTCTCACATTCACAGACTCATCGCCACTGCTGCCAGGAAGAACGCCCCTTTGCCTGTTCACCGTTGCTTTGAGGCCCGGTGAGCAAGGCCCAGGGAAAGGGTTGAATCCCCCGCAGACACGAGAGGTGGCCACTGCCTTATCCTGGGGCGTGTCAAGGCCCACCCCTCCCTGACGGAGCCACCGTGAGGCACAGAAGGGCTTCCTGCTCTGGGGACCTGCAGAGAGCCCGCCCCTTCGGTCTCCCCGTGTTTCTGGAAACCCGGGGTTGTGAAGACTCTTTTAAAACCTTATAAGCAGGGCTCCGGCTGCTTGTCCTCGAGGATGAGATTTTGTCTCCTGTCAGCCTCTTGCTCGGAAAAACAGACTCTGCCCCCGAACGAAGCATTTCCAGTAGGGGGGATGTATGTGTAGAAATACTTCCTTGCGAGGCGCTCGGAGGCTGCACGAAAAGGGCAAGTCAGGGAGGCGTGTGGGGGCCAGAGCAAAGGCAGGCGCTCTGGCTCATCTGTCCGTGGATAGGCTTGCTCGCCTATAAGCTGGGGATCGACCACCTACGAGTCTAATAGGGGGATTCCTTCTCTCTTCCATGCAACTATTGGTCAAGGCACCGAGTATTTATTGTGAGGCACTGTTCAAAGCTATGTCAATAGAATAGGGGAATTTTAACTTTTGTTAGATCCCACCCTTCTCCCCCACCCAGCGCACACAAATGGGGCCCAGAGGAAACAGCCGTTGGGTAACTGTGACGTCAGGAGTCTTGAAGGGTGATATTCCTCTGATACCTTAAGAGGGTCTAGTCCATCCACGTTGATAATGGATGGGGAGGCAGGCCTGGAAGTGAAGGATGACCCTCCCTGATTTACAGCAACATCAAGGCAAAGTACCCAGACCTCTTCCCCAAGGAAGGACCTTTGCCACACTTTAGCCTCTGGGGAGCAGGATGGGATGTCCTTTGTCACAGGACACCCACCGCATGTCCCCGGAGGCCAGAGCCAGTTGGTGGAGCGGAAGTCCTGTACTATTCTTGACCTACAAGTTGGAAAGCAAGTGCAGGGATTTGCAGCCCATCCCTGGCTCGGGGCAGAACTGGAACCAAAGGGCAGGCTGTTTCCCTCGGCCCCTACTCCGAGTCTGTCACCCCCAGGAGTCCGTGAACAGTCACCTTCTATACTGGCAGGGAGCCCTGCCAGGCCCTGTGATGTGTGGGGACAATGTAGCAGAGCTGGGCGGGGGAAGACCATTTGGTCCCAGGGATGTTGCGTGTGGGGTGCTCCCTTTGGTCTGAAGACAGGATCCCTGAGGAAGGACTGCAGCCTGAGAGGGGGTGCTGTATTCCCTTCTCTCTGCTGGGCCCCTTCCAGAGAGACCCCTGCCCTGGACCCAGGGATCAGAGAGCCTTCAAAGGTTGACTGATGTCTTGCAGGGACAGGGAAATGGCAAGGCTTGACCAGAGAGGCTACCGGAAGCCGTGTGAGAAACAACCTTGTCTCCTTGTCCTATGCTGAAAGGTAGTCTGCAGAAGGAACCAATGTCTGTTTTCTGAGTTCACGAATTTGGGATGAGCCACTCCCTCTCTGTCCCCACAGTCTGGTGCTTGGAATGTTGAGAGGGATGAGGGGTGGTGAGGTGGAGGGGTGTGCCCGGGCTTGGAATCCAGCCAACTTGGGTGCTGACCCCTGGACTCACCCACTCACTACCTGTGCAACCACAGGCAGGTACCCGTACTTCTGTGGGCCTCAGTTTCCCCACCTGGAAACGGTGAGTTAATAATTCTTTGCAGACTGGTTTTAAGATTTAGAAAAAATATGGGGCGCCTGGGTGGTTCAGTTGGTTAACCGTCCAACTTCAGCTCAGGTCACGATCGCACAGTCTGTGAGTTCGAGCCCCGCGTCGGGCTCTGTGCTGGCAGCTCAGAGCCTGGAGCCTGCTTCAGATTCTGTGTGTCTCTCTCTCTCTGCCCCTCCCCTGCTCATGCTCTGTTTCTCTGTGTCTCAAAAATAAATAAACACATTAAAAAAAATTAAAAAAAAAAAAGATTTAGAGAAAATATATGTATGACACTGTATTCATTTCCAAGCTTGCCATAACAACCACAGACTGGTATTTATAAATAAATGGTAACATTTGTTTTCTCACTGTTCCGGAGGGAGGCCGGAAGTCCTGTATGTTAGTGTCATTAAGGTCTCTCTCTCCTTGGTGGCCACCTTCTCCTTGTGTCCTCACATGGTCGTCCCTCTGTGCGTGTCTGGCTCCTAATCTCCTCTGAGAAGGACACCAGTCGTGTTGGATTAGGACCCTAATAGACCTCACTGTAACTTAACTACCTCTTTGAAGATCCCGTCTCTTAACACACATTCTCAAGTGCTGGGGTTAGGACTTCAAGATATAAATTCTGGGCGGGAACACGATTCAGCCCATAACAAATGTCACAGTGCCTGATGCCCAAGTAGGTGTGGAGAGAAGAGTCACTTTTGTTAATTTTTATTTAAAAAAATAAGAACAAAAAGTACAAAAATCCATAGTTGACTCAATCCATGTGGTGGGATTGAGGCAGAGAAGGTGACCGGAGTCATTTAGGGGGTCAGTAAATATTCACTGACCACCTACTGTGTGCCAGGCCCCACTCTGGGCACTGGGGTTCATCACTGCGTGTAGTGGGTCAAACCTCTGTCCTCACGAGCTGACACGCTCATGTAGGAGATGGACAATAAGCAAAATCAATCACTAAAGTGTGTTGGATGCTTAAATGGTGTTGCAGGGGACGCAGGGGGGCTGCCCCTTGGCTGCAGCCCCCTCCCAGCTCCTGGCTCCCTGTCAGGCCCTGGGGTCTTGTCTCCCACTCACAGGAGGCCTCTCTCCTCTCTCTGTCCCCTGCAGCGTGGAGGGCGAGGCCCCCAGCAGCGAGACCGGCACGTCCCTGGACAGCCCGTCGGCCTACCAGGGCCCCCTAGCGCCCGGTTCCAGCCTGAGCCCGGACCACTACGAGCACACGTCGGTGGGAGCCTATGGGCTGTACGCGGGCCCGCCAGGGCAACAGCAGCGCACACGGAGGCCCAAGCTGCAGCACTCGACCTCCATCCTGCGCAAGCAGGCCGAGGAGGAGGCCATCAAGCGCTCGCGGTCACTCTCTGAGAGCTATGAGCTCTCCTCGGACCTGCAGGACAAGCAGGTAGGCGGGACCCACCACGCAGGGACAGGCAGCCGGGCTGCTCTGCCTGGAGGACGACGCGCGGCCCTTTGCTGGGACTGCCTTGGGCAGCAGGAGTCTCGGCTCTCGGACACCGGCGTCCTGTGCTCTCCCACAGATGGAAGCATGGTTATGCGCACGCGCGCTACGACTGTGACCTTTGCGTTGGCCCAGGCTGCCCTTCCTGCTCCTCCCGACCCGTGGAGGCTCTCAGAGTGAGGGCACTGGAGTGTCAGGACTTCGCCTCTCCCCCACTCACAGTCCTCATGGCCATGCACACAGGTTAGGTGGCCAGACACTGAGGGTTTGCGGTCCCAGGAGAGGGCTGAGCCTTAGGTAGCCCTGGGGAGGAGTCCCTGCGGAGAAGGGCGGGAGGTCAGTTTACAACATAAATAGCACAGGCTCTGAAAAGAACACCAAGCCCATCCACAGCCAGCGGGCGAGGTTGCTTATTATATCCCTTTCGGTTTACAACTCTGTGTTCTCGTGGGAAACGACCTCACTGAGGGCTCACTTCCTCCCAAGGCAGGGGCCTTGGCCCAGACCCACCGTGAGGTTGGCACCTGTGTGCAGAATGAGGTGGGCGCACGGCCCGCCCCCGTGGCTGGGCTCCAGGGAGAAGTAAAGACAGCTGCTTGGGGTCGAGGGGAGAGGCCTGTCCTGGCTGGGTGGTGGGCGGGGGCCAGGGCCAGAGAGCTCTCGCTTCAAGAGCAGGCACGTAGTAGGTACTTTAATAAGAATTCTCGTGTGAAACTGATGGCAAGAACCCGAGGCTGCAGCAAGCAGCTATGCAAATGTGCAAGGCCCAACTTGTCTGGCCGGCTTCCCCTAGCTTCTGGGAGTTCCTTGGGCCATCTCCTTGTGAGTCCTGGGTGGCCACATCGACCCCTCGCCTTGCTGCCCTCCATTTGCCTCCTAGTCTTCCCACGTGTCTTTTACAGAGCAGAGGTCTGGGCCCGGTGTGGCAACTGGCTCGGAGGAGCAATGCAGGTACTGCCCAGGGCGGATCTTCCCTATCCCCCACCCCCAGAATCCCCTACAGGCCCCTCCTCTCCCTGTTCTCGGTTCCACCCTGCGGCTTTGGACAGTCCTACTTGCTCAGCCCTCGTTCTCTTCAGCCTTCTGCCTGTGAGTTGGGAGACAGGGAGCCTGGCCAGTGGCCAGGGCCTGATAGCAAATAGCCCCCCATCCCCTGTGTCACTTGGCCCCGTAGCCAGGCCCACAACAGGGGAGGACCACCTCTGTTCCGTTTATCAGTTCCACCCAGATCCAAAGTGGATCAGAAACAGTTGATAGTAAAAGACCCCCAACAGAACCATTGAAGTAGAAGTAAGGAAGTTGAAGACCTAAGAGAGGCCCGTGGAAATAAATAATCGTCTGCTTCATCTGGTCTTACCGTGGCCATGGCTGTTCATTTTCATCTCACGCATGTTAACCAAAAGCCCATCGTGTGCCACACACCGTGCTGGGTGCTGGGAAGTCGACAGTGGACAGGGCGAGGCCCCAGCTCTTGAGCTGACACTGTGGTCCAGAAGATGGATCCGCAGACAAGTTAGCAATAAAGACAGTTTAATTCCGGAACGTGATACAAACCCCAGAGATTATAAAATAGGGGGAAGAAATGGAGTGACTGTGGGAGGCGCCAGCATTGGATAAGGGTGGTGAGGAAGGCCTCCCCAGGCTGGCATTAGAATGGAGTGTCTGAGGAAGGGGCCTTCCAGGAAGCGGTAACTGCAGGCGCAAAGGCCCTGAGGCAGAACAGCAGTGGTAGAAAGGATGGCAAGGAAGAGGTGGTGGAAAGGTGAGAGGGTGTCTGAGCTGTTGACTTCCTGGCAATCCTAGCTAGAGTGGGAATAGGACAGATTACATGGGAGCTACCGGATGGAAGCAGGGTAGGGTAGGGTAGGGAAATAGGGTAACACGGGGTCCCGCTTAGTGAAGGGAGCCCTCTGGCTTCAGGGCCTCTGTACCTTCTGGCGGTTTCCTATCAATGAGAACAAGAGTCCTGAGTCATCAAGAGGTGGTAGGTCTGCTTTGTGGAAGGGCGTTTCCTCTCTGTTCCCCATCCCTCCCCCAATGTTGAGAAGTGTCCTTTTAAAGGGAGAGTGAGGGCTTGCCGGGAGAGCCCCCGCTACGGGTCAGCTCCACCTCACCTCCCAGAGCCTCTGTCCTCCGAGAAGTGGGGAGTCCCAGAGCCCCTCTGCAGACTGGATGTCATGTGAGTATTGGGCGAGGGTGATGTATAGCAGGTGAGCACGTACAGATTGGATTCCCTCCCCTGTACCCCAATAAACTTTCAGACTGGGCCTTGAGTCAGTTCTGGCCCAGACGGAACAATGACCGGGGGAGTCTAGGCAATGCGTAAGAGCAGGCCTGGGCCAGCATGTGTCCTGGACCGAGAGGGGCTTTGATGACAAAAACAGAGCCCATTTCTGCCTTCCGAAAGTCCCTCTTCTTTCCCCTGACCCCTCCCCCAGATCTGGGGAGCCGGTCTCAGGCAAGCAGGGTTGCTACTTGGATTCTGAGGTCCAAAGTCAGCAGGGGAGAGAGAGCCCTGAAGTGAACCCTGGATCTGAGCTGGTGGCACTGCCATCATGACCCCACCCCCAAAGGTGACATGAGGGGACCCACAACACAAGCCATGGACGGCGAAGAGACGGCTCCCTAGAGCTCAGCCTTGGGCCCTTTATCGGCTCCATTGGCTTTCACAGCCCCACTCAAAACCCCAAGAAAACAAAGTCTGCTTACAGATGTGGAAGTGAGGTCATCTCTTTGGATGGTGTTCAGTAACTTCAGGGCAGGAGAAAAAACAGACCCACCCTGGCTGACTCTGGGCCCAGAAAAGTCATTTTGATCCACCCCCCCCACCACACACACACACACACACACACACACACACTCCACGCTCCTCTCCTCTGAAGGGAGCCGTTCTGCCCAGCCTGCTGCTCCCTTGCCTGTGGGCCCCAGAGAGCTGGCACGTTCGGTTTTCGGGGGGAGCTGACATCCCAGAGCCAGGAAGTGAGGGGTCCAGGACCTGCACTGATGTGCGTGAAGCTCCAAGCCCTCTGTTCCTGGCCCGCCCCACCGCGGCTCTGAGTGACCCTCTCCCCTGACTCGGGCCATAGCCTGGATTTGCTGAACGTCTGGTTCTATTTCAGTTAGGTGCGTGTGTGTCTGTTCCCCTGGACAGGCTGTTTGCTTCTTGAGGGCAGGGACCTTATCTCTCTCTGCCACCAGCTTTGGTGTGATACCGGGCACAGAGTAGGCAGGTGGGGTCTAGACAAGCAGGGTGTGGTGCACATGTGCCTCACTCCTGAGGACCTGAGACCTCTCTTGGCCCCACATCAGGTACCCCCTGTGCCCAGCACCCCAAAAGCCCTGGCTTGGCCGAGAAACCAGTTCCTTGTCTTGAGTTCTCTTTGATTCCTACAGAGCGGGCTCCTACTCAGGAACAAGGCGTGGGGAGCAGCCCTTGGGCTGTCCTTGGTCACTGAGCGCTGGCATGAGCCTCAGGGCTTTGGGAGGCTCGTGGGTCACATGGGGGAGTCCCAGGCAGTGCTACCTGCCTGCCGCCTTGCCCCGTCTCCGTGCCTCATCAAGGAGAGGGATGAGCAGGACACATGGTTCCGGACTCGCTCTGGAGTCTGGAGGCCTCCAGCCATGTGCTCAGTGTCTTCTCTGGGCCTTAGCTTCCCCATCTGTCTAGTGAGGGGCCTTGGGGACCCCCTAAATTGTAAACACCTTCCAGGAATGCCGTCAGGGGCCTTCTAGCATCTATGTCATCAGGTGCTCGCCGTGATCCTACAACGTGGGTCTGAGTCTGTCCCCTACTTTATAGATGCGGAAACTGGGGAAGGGCACGGCTTCAAGGCTTATGCAGAGTAACACAGCTAACGAGGGCGGGGTGGGATTGCAGCGTGGGCATCTGGCCTCGAAGTCTGTGCCTCAGTAAGGTGATTCTCTCAGGCCTCCCTGCAGCTCAGTCTCACACACACACACACACACACACACACACACACACACACACACCTGCCCCCAGCTAGTAAGAGCACATTGTCTGCTGTAGAGAAGAAATAAGGCCAAAAGCCTGCAGCCCCTGCTCAGCGTCCAGGATCTCACTGACATCTTTGGCGGGTCTCTTAACCTTCTCGTGCCATGGGTCCCTCCTCTCTGCAGGGGCTGCCTTCACGTCTCCCAGCATCTCCCAAGTTTCATTAAACCACAGGCCCGCAAGATGCACTAGGGCCAAAGGTTTCTGTGGCCAAAGAAATTTGGGAACTCGCCACCTTTTAAAGGTTCTGAGAAGTCCCGCAGGGAACATCTTGCGTTCACGTGGTGCTGCTCCATTTTATTTAGCCTGGGAACCCCCGTTTTGCCCACCTTCACCAACTCGCCTCCGTGGTTGCCGGAACCAACTTTGGGATGTGCCCAGGCCTCTCTCTCCACATGGTGCTGCCACGGGGCTGGGCGCCAGCAGGAGCATGGGTGGGCAAGGCGATGTGCCAGCGCGCGGGGCTGTCCTCACCATCCTGTCCTCTCCCCTTCCAGGTGGAGATGCTAGAACGCAAGTATGGAGGCCGCCTTGTGACGCGCCATGCGGCCCGCACCATCCAGACGGCCTTCCGCCAGTACCAGATGAACAAGAACTTCGAGCGCCTGCGCAGCTCCATGTCGGAGAACCGCATGTCGCGCCGTATCGTGCTGTCCAACATGAGGATGCAGTTCTCCTTCGAGGGTCCTGAGAAGGTGCACAGCTCCTACTTCGAGGGGAAGCAGGTCTCGGTGACGGACGATGGCTCGCAGCTGGGGGCCCTGGTGCCGTCGGAGCGCGGCGACCTCGGCGAGCCTCCCGCCCTCAAGTCTCCCGCCCCATCCAGCGACTTCGCGGACGCCATCACGGAGCTGGAGGACGCCTTCTCCCGGCAGGTGAAATCGCTGGCAGAGTCCATCGACGACGCCCTCCACTGCCGCAGCCTGCACTCGGGGGAGGCGCCCCCTGCCGACACGGGGCGGGCCCGGGATGCCGAGCCCAAGCCGGCCCTGCACGGCGCTGACCACCACAAACTGGACGAGATGACGGCCTCGTACAGCGATGTCACCCTGTACATCGATGAGGAGGAGCTGTCGCCCCCACTGCCCCTCTCACAGGCCGGGCACCGGCCGCCCAGCGCCGAGTCGGACCCGCGGCTGCGAGCCGGGGGCGCCTCGCAGGACTACTGGGCGCTGGCCCACAAAGACGACAAGGGGGACACGGACACGAGCTGCCGGAGCACGCCGTCGCTCGAGCGGCAAGAGCAGCGGCTGCGCGTGGAGCACCTCCCGCTGCTCACCATCGAGCCGCCCAGCGACAGCTCCGTGGACCTCAGCGACCGCTCAGACCGCGGCTCGCTCAAGAGGCAGAGCGCCTACGAACGCGGCCTGGGCGGGCCACAGGGCAGCCCCAAGCACGGCCCCCTGGGCTGCCCCCCGAAGAGCCTTCCCCGGGAGGAGCCCGAGTTGCGGCCCCGGCCCCCCCGGCCCCTGGACAGCCACCTGGCCATCAACGGCTCGGCCAACAGGCAGAGCAGGTCCGAGTCTGACTACTCGGACGGGGACAACGACAGCATCAACAGCACATCCAACTCCAACGACACCATCAACTGCAGCTCTGAATCGTCGTCCCGTGACAGCCTGCGGGAGCAGACGCTCAGCAAGCAGACCTACCACAAGGAGACCCGCAACAGCTGGGACTCCCCGGCCTTCAGCAACGACGTCATCCGCAAGAGGCACTATCGCATTGGCCTCAATCTCTTCAACAAGTGAGTGCCTGCCAGCCCCGCGGGAGCGTGGGGCAGGCCTTCCTCTCGTGCCCCGGGGCCTTTGCACACACCTGTGGTTTAAAAATGAGCACGCGTGAGGCCATGACACTGCGCTAATGGCACCTACAGCAGCACCTGGCATAGCCGATGCTGTCATAGAGGAGACTGGTGCCCGGTGAGCGGTGGGCCCGGCCCCCCCCCCCCGGCCCCCGAGGACCCTGTCGTGGGGAGAGCAGAGGCTCACAGGCAGAGCCGCAGCCAAATGAAGCGTTTCTCTGATAGAGCAACATGGGGACAGGAGTTCAGGGCCCTGTTGGCACCTAGAACAGCCCCCAGCATACAGTAGGTTCTCTGGAAACATGAACGTACAGGCTGATGTGCTGTGAAACGCTGCACCTGGCCATGAATACCAGGCTCGGGGGGTTGGATTTTATTCTCTGGGTGACAAGGGGCACGAAGGTCTTTGGGCGAGGGCATGATGGTGTCCGTGTCTGAGCAAGATCTCCCAGGGCAGGTGCAGGCTGGGCTCGGAGGCGTGCGTCGGGGAGGAAGGACACAGATAAACCCGGTTCTAGCAGAAATCTCAGCAAGGTCCTGTGGGAGATGTGTGAATTGGGTCTGTTGAGTGGCCACTACCCGCCAGGAGTTCTAGAAAGGTGCTGTGGGGGCAGTCCTGAGAGCAGATTTAAAGAGGGAGAAGGGTATTTAAAGCAGGCTATTCTTAGCCCGGCCAAAAATAGCAAGCGGAAGGGGAGGGGAGCTGTGACTACTCCCTAGGAGGAGACGCTGGCGGGCTCTGGTTATTCAACCTCATATTTCACATCGTTTCCAGCCCCGGGGCCTCTGGGATTGGGGGTCATCAGACGTCAGCCTGGCACTGACCTCTCCAACTTGGGGATGTGGCCAGACTGCCCGGTGGTTATGGACACATGCCCTCTACTCTTCCCTGTGCCCTCTTCTAGATTTAGGGAGACTTGGGGCCACTTTTGAGCCATCCCTGGCACAAATGGAAGTGCTGCTCTGTCTTGGGGGTTCAGTAGGCCTCGACCCACAGGGTGGGTATAAGGAACGGGACATTTACATGGGAGCAGCCAGAGGTCTCTGGGTCACTGGTCCTCACTCAGCTAAGAACTAAGAGTCTCAGACACCTCCTATCTGCCAGGGTGCTCTCTCCTGAGACTCCCATCAGCCCGTGGCTCGCGGCACGTGAGGACAGCCTCACCACTGCACGAACCATGGCTGGAGCAGCGCACTAGCAGGAAGGGCCATATCCTGCTGAGCCCACCCTGAGCTCTGTCCGGAAAATGCGTTCCCACCTGCTCCTGGGCACAGGCCAGCTTCCAGACCCAGGCCCGTGCCCTCCTGGGGGAGGCTGGAATGACCTGGGGCTCGCCTAGTGTCCAAGCCGACCTCTTGGACTGGCAAACTGCCAGAGACGTCCTGAGGGTGGGGGTCCGAGCTGCATCAGCAGGTGGAGTGCAGAAGAAAGTCCCTCAACCGACCAGTGTTGGTCTGTGTAGATTAGCTCTGTTTTGAGTTAGGTGTGCGGCACGGGAATATGTTCCCGACGGAAAATGAAAGCCTTCCAGTTAGGATGGCATTCCCTTTGGCTCTTGTCATTTCGGAGCCTCTCCCCCCAGATCTTTATTCCGTGCGTGGGTGTGTGTGCTCTTAGGAACTGCAGACAGCCTGCCCGGGCTCAGACTGGCCTCTCTTCTGTACGGTGGGGCTGGGCCCAGTAGCATCCACCTCGCAGGGTGTGAGTTGTACGCGAGCGGGTGTGTAAAGTGCTCAGAGCAGCGCCTGGCACAGAGTAAGTCGTATCCAAGTGTTAGCCACAGTTGCTGCGGCCTTCCTGACATCATCTGGGGCCTGGAGTTGTGGACGTCCTCTACTAGGATATCGCCGCACAGCTTGCTGTTGGGAGATCTCCCCCGTCCGTGTGCATGGCCACCTCCCTCCTGCTCACTGCTGTGTAGTGGGTCCTGGTGTGGCTATTCACATCACCGATCCGGCCAGTCGTTCCTACTTCTTCTTCATGATTACCAACCACCTATGACGAGGAGTGTAGATCTGTTCTTAGCATACACTCCCAAGGGCGTCTGCAGGGAAGCTAGCTAAAGGCGGTATCATGGGGGCTTAGGTAGGAACGTTCTCCATTGAAATAGGAGCTGCCAACTTACTCTTTAAAAGGGGGCTCTGCCCATTTCCTCTCTCTGCTGCTGGATCCGAAAGGTCATCTTGCTCCCGCATGCTTGGCAACAGTCCGTGTTGTCTCCCCACCCCCAATCAGAGGGTAGAAATAATTCTCTCTTGGTCGTTTTACTTTGCGTTTTCTAGCTTTGCATCTGTATGTGTCTTAGCCATTTGTATTTTCTCTTCTATAAAATGCCAGTTTATATATATTTTTTTTAGATTTTTTTTAAGTAATCTTTACACCCAACATGGGGCTCAAACTTAGAACCCCGAGATCAAGAGTTGCATGCTCTGCTAAACTAGCTGGGTGCCCGCAGTTTATATATATATTTTTATATGTATTTATTTAAATTCAAGTTGTTTAACACACAGTGTAGTATTGCTTTCAGAAGTAGAACCCAGTGATTCATCACTTAACTATGACACCCAGTGCTCATCCCAGCAAGTGCCCTCCCTAATGCCCATCACCCATTTAGCCCATCCCCCCAACACACACACCCCACAGCAACCCTCAGTTTGTTCTCTGTATTTAAGAGTCTCTTATGGTTTGCGTCCCTCTCTGTTTTTATCTTATTTTTCCTTCTCTTCCCCTGTGTTCATCTGTTGTGTTTCTTACACATATGAGTGAAATCATACGACATCTGTCTTTCTCTGCCTGACTTATGTTGCTTAGCATAATACACTCTAGTTCATGTTTTTTGCTCAGTTTTTGTCATGTTGATTTACTAGTAGTTCTTTATTTATCATGGATACTGATCCTTTGTAATTACAAACATTTTCTGTCACTTGTCCTCTTTCTAATTTTTCTTTTGAGATATAATTCACACACCATAAAATTCACCCTTATAAAAAGTGTGCAGTTCAGTGGTTCTCGGTTCTGTCTTTTAACTTTGTGCTCTTTCATCTAACAAAAGTTTTTTTTATTTTTTGTGTTTCTTAAATTGAGATAAATTGACATATAACATCAGTTTCAGATGCACAATGTAATGATTTCGATTTTTACGTATATTGCAAAATGACCACAATGCGTTAACATCCCTCACCACACGTAGTTACAACTTTTTTCTTGTGATGAGAACGTTTAAGATCTACTCTCTTAGCAACTAGCAAATATACAATCCAGTGTGCTGTACAGTAAGGTTTTAATTTTAATTAGCTAAATTAACGAGTATTGTTTCATTTCTTTGGCTTTTCATGTTTTATTTTAAAAGGGGCTTTGCCCCGCATCATAAATATAGTTTTAAAATATTTTCTTCAGGATGTTTGTATGCCCTTTAGGACTTTAAGCTGAAATTTGTTTCAGGGAACCATGCAAGGTGAGGGGTCCAATTTTTTTTTTTTTTTTAAGAGAGAGCACGTGCACATATGCAAGGTAGAGGGGCAGAGGGAGAGAGAGAGAGAGAGAGAGAGAGAGAGAATCCCAAGCAGGTTCCACGTTCAGTGCAGAGCCTGATGCAGAGATCAATCCCATGACCCTGGGATCATGACCTGAGCTGAAATCAAGAGTAGGATGCTCAATGGACTGAGCCACCCCAGCGCGCCCTATTATTATTCTGTATAGATTAGCCAGTTGTTTCCAAGCAATTTATTGAACAGTCTGTCCCTTCTCCATTGACTTCAAGTTCCATCTAATTCCTACATGAATCTTTTCACTCATTCAACAGATATTTGATATCTGTTGATATTTGCACTCATGATCTTTTCACTCATTCAACAGATATTCATTGAGCACCTGCTACTTATACCAGGCAGTGTTTTAGGGGCCTGGAACAGATCAGGGAACAGAAAAAATCCGCGTTCATGGTTAGAGGACCTGTCCATTTCTGTGCAAGTATCAGACTTTGGGTTTCATGGGTTTTTTTCTTGTTAGGACAAAACCCCTCTCTGGTTCTTTTTAAAAATTGTCTCGGCTATTTTGGGCAGGTACTCTTCGATGTGAATTTTGGGAGTCTCGCATTAAGCCCCATGAGCGATCCTGGCTGAATTTTCACCAGCATTGCCTTCAACTCAGAGAATAACTTGGGGGAACTTGTGCTTTAACAGCATTGAGGTCCGGCCACTGGTGGCGATCGAAATTAAAGTTAACTAAAATTTAACATGAATCCAGTCCCTCTGGTGCGCTGGCCACGGTGCAGCTCACTAACCACACGTGGCTATGTGCCTGGGAGCACAGATCTAGGACAGTTCTGTCCCCGCAGAACGTGCTTGTGGACAGCCCCGCTCTAGAGCGCTGAGGGACAGTCAGCAGCAAGTCTCTGTCCATGCGGGGTGTGGGGGAGGGCAGTGGGGCTGGCCCCCAATGGCAGGAGCCCATGGCCTCCATGTGAAGCATTCCCCTTGCCCACCAGGGAGGCTCCAGGGCTGTGAGAGTGTGTTACGGAGCATTGGGCTTCCTCCCTCTCAGCCTTCACCGCCGCCGAGCCTCAGTTTCCTACCTCCAGAGGTTGTCGTATTGGAGAAACCACTTTTCCAAAATCGTGTTATTTAAACAGTTGAACACCTTTCTTACACAGATTGAGCTTTTCAGCTCATAAGGCCCTTCCACAGATATATGCCCACTGGCATACCCCCCCCCCCCACCACGGAGCCTCCCAGCAATGTGACCAGTTTTCCCTGGAGCTGCCAGCTGAGGGAGGGCAGAAGATGCTAGTGGACACTGAGCAGCCCAAGGCTGGGGTTCCTCCCCAGAAGGTTCCTCTTCACCACTGCCTACCTCTGCTCCCCTCTCTCCCTGTGGGTCACTTGTCTCCCAGCCCCCGACCCTTGCCCGTACCCCTGACTGCCCCAGGCCCACCCCCTCCCAG